CACTGAATTAGCAAATTACCAAAAAGGGAAGGAGTGTTCTGGAAATGTTGCTCTTGTAGAGAAATTGCTGATCACTTGGTAATCATTGATGAGGATCAAATAGCTGCGGCTTCCATGTATTCCCGCACACCGCACTTAGGCCCCATTGGACTCCCAACATAACCTCTTTTCACATCAACCAGCCTAAGGAATTACCGAAGGCCAGGATATTACTCAAAGGTAAGTTCCTGATATCATCTGTGGTCGGCCATGCCTCCCCGAGGGTCCTCATTCTGAGGTCTGCAAGAGAGGGGCAATCACACAAGATGTGTCTAGCCCTGTTCACAGGCTCGACAGAGAGGAGAGTTTGCAAGCTTCATATTGTGAATCTGCTTGTTAACCTTACAGTGTCCCGCGAGGAGACCTGCGGCTAATTGGAGGGCGTTTTTTCCAAGCCCTACGAAAAACTGAGCTGTGATTTTCGAATGATATTTTAACAAATCCTTAGCAAGATAACAGCCCGGGGTTTTGTCGCACGCGTTTAGGAATTTTTTATGGGTAATGTGCGGCTTCCATTTCATCGGCGCCATCACCTGAAGTAATGTACCAACTTTTGTTTAATTTCAGACAGAAATTAAACAAATGAACGCCAAATACACTGAGTTGGTCAATTCGATATCCCTTTATGGTGATAAAATAACGGATTTTGAAAACACGCTTATAGGATTCGGGGATAAGGTGAAATGGCTCGAGTCTGTTACCGCTAAGAATGTAAGGCTTAGATCTGTAGTTGATGACCTGACTTCGCGGGAGGAGCATCTGGAATAATACTCCAGATTAAACAATTTAATCATGTCCAGAATCCCTGAAAAAAAAGATGATCTTACGTTATCACTTACATCATCAAAGATTGGAGAAGTAATAAACTGTCTATACACCGCCTTCCGTCACGTTCGCCTGCTGGAAATGACACTAGTATTCCTAAACACAACAACATTGTGGTTAAATTCCTATCGCGCGGTTTGCGTGGTCATTTTCTCACGACTTCGAAGCGGTACCGCAGAAACAATAATAATGGCTCCCCTGGTTTAAACATTCCCAATATTACTGAAAAGTTATTGGTCAACAAACATCTAATTATACTCAATACGGGCTGTTGAAGTCAACTAAATCAGCTTGTTGTAATAAAGGTTATAAATACGTGTGGTTAAAAAATTGTGTCATTCATGTACAAGGTGTCCAAATTTCGATGGGTTTGCAGGGTATCTCAGTTATTATGAAAGATAGAAAGTTGCGGCTTTCGCGAACCTGAGCTACTTTTTTGTGAAACTTACAATGGCGCAAACCAAATTTTCATAGCCCTCTTCGTTTTTGATATACAGGGAATGTTTGAAATTTACGATTTTCAGACACCTCCTGTATCTCGGCTATCCGGAAACTTAGTAAAAAAGTAAAAACGGGTTCTAATAGATTTTTTTACGTGGAATTCAATGGTGCACGTAGAATTTTTTTAGTCATCACGATTTTTGAGTTATAAACACAACTCAAATACTGAACACTCATCTTCTAAAATAGTTAACTCTTTATAACTCAAAAGCCGCAACTTTCTATCTTTCATAATAACTGAGATACCCTGCAAACCCATCGAAATTTGGACACTCTGTACATTCCACATAGCGATTTTCGTTTTGGTCTTATAAAGTTGCATTTTTGAACATATGGAATAATAGTATAGCGGGGTTTCCGTTTCCGTGTTTCACCGCAAAGTGGAAGCCGTTGAGACTGTTGTACGCTCGCTGTTGTCCATCTTCGACAACGCCACAAGGCACTGTTGCCACTGCTGCCCAGCAACAGATTTCACCGTATCTGGCTACCCTCACATGGTTTAGTCTGTGGACCAACGCAGTTTACCAGGGTGTGGAGCTTGGAGACAACAAGTGAAAGTTATAGACACTGTGGAGACCAGCGCTTTCAAACCACCCTGGCGATACGCTCGGGTTTGGCACTTGCGCTGCGAAAGGTACACTGTGTTAATTAATTATCGTACCCGACGTTATCATTGCAGGTATGCAACCAATATCGCCAATCGCGTATTGTAATACCAATACTGTGATATACTAATCAAGATGCAACTATCCAACAAAAGGGCGTTGTCCCGGTGCATAGCATAGCTGATCACTCTCTAATTTTTGTAACATTAAAATTATTTGACACTCCGAAGTCCCAACCTCGTCTCATAAGCTACAGGGACTTTAAACAATTTGATAAAAACAGTTTTAATCGTGATCTTGCGGAAATACCTTGGCAGGAAATCCTGTGTTATAATAATGTAAATGATAAAATGACCTTTTTTAATACAAATGTTCTTACGCTTTTCGACATACATGCTCCTATTAAGGTCTCCTTGATGAGAAAAAATTACCGTCCCTGGGTTACTGACAATGTGAAGCTGCTTATGACGCTTCGTGATAATGCGTTTGCTAAATTTAAAAAAACAAAAAGTCCTGTTGATTTTACTTCTTATAAAGAACTTCGGAACTTTACTAATTTATCTATTCGGAGGGAAAAAAAAGCGTATCTTGAGCATATGCTGAGCACTAGGGGATGTCGGGAACTTTGGACCGGTTTTAGGGCGATGGGCATTGTTAATAGTAAACAGCGTTCTATTCCGGACTTTTTAGCGAGTGTTGATGCTATTAACGACTACTTCCAAACTTCTCAAATAGTTGCTACGGGTGATATGGACACTATTAATTATTATAACTTAAACATAGTACCTGGTGTTACTGAGAAGCTGACATTAACGCTTGCAACTAAAGAAGAGATTTATGACGTACTACTCAATCTCAAATCAAATGCTATTGGTACTGATGGTATTGGTATAAAGATGTTGTTGCTGTGTTGCCCGTTGATTTTGCCTTATATTTGTCATATAATTAACTATTGCATTCAGGGCTCTGTGTTTCCTGACTGTTGGAAAACTGCTCTGATTACGCCAATTCCAAAATCTAGCAATCCCAGCCAATTAAAAGATTTGAGACCGATTAGTATTTTGCCGGTTATATCTAAAATTCTGGAAAAAATTATTGCTGACAGGTTGCGAGAGCACTTAGATAAGTTCAATATTCTACCTATGCGGCAATCTGGCTTTCGTAAAGGATACAGCTGTACTGCTGCCCTATTGGATGTGACCGACGACATTGTTCGTGAGATTGATCAGAAAAATGTCACTATTTTAATTTTACTGGATTATTCAAAGGCTTTTGATACCGTTCATCATAAAACTCTTTTATCTATGCTTCATTACATTGGACTTTCTGATGATTCCATTTTGTTTTTCTGTAACTATTTAACTGGTCGTAAGCAAATGGTAGCTCTAAATGGCAACTTCTCTACTGAATGTGCTGTATCGTCTGGAGTTCCTCAGGGATCAGTTCTTGGTCCAATTCTCTATTTAATTTACACTTGCAATTTATATAATGTACTGAGAAGTTGTAAGGCTCACATGTATGCTGACGATACGCAACTTTACTATTCTTTTAACATCAATGACCTTGCTGATGCACAAAATTGTATAAATTCTGATTTGACAAGATTGGTTGAGGAATCTTCAAAACTTTGCCTTCAATTAAACCCGGATAAATCGTCGGTTATGGTCTTTGGGGGGCGGCGAGCCGTTGGGGAAGTCAAGGCATCTGTGGATCTAAAATTGAATGGCGTTAAGCTAAATATTACTGATGAGTCGCGAAACCTGGGAATCACTATTGATTCTACTCTTAGATTTCGTAAACATGTCGCTTCTCTTCTCCAGCGTGCTTATGCCACGTTGAAGCTACTATATGGCAATAGACAACTGCTTAATCAGCGTCTGAGAGCGCAGCTTTGTGATGCACTGGTGTTAAGCATTTTTAATTATGGGGATGTTCTATATGGCTCCTGTTTAGATGTTGCCGAGTCGTTGCGTGTTCAACGTGTGCAAAATGCATGCTTACGCTTTATATTTGGCATTCGAAAGCGAGAAAAAATATCCCATACCTTAAACTGGGTTGGGTGGTTAAATATGTCTCGGCGTCGTAAATTGCACTCTGCTTGTTTTTATCGAAGAATTATTTTCAATCAAAAGCCTCCCTACTTGTTAAATAAATTGAGATACCGCTCTGACGTGCATAACATCAACATCCGTCGTCGTTCTTCCTTGTCTATACCCCAACATAGATTGCAAATTTTTGAACGATGTTTTTCATATAGTATACCTAATTTGATCAATAGCATTCCTACTGATATTAACAATAAATCTAAGAGTAGTTTTAAATTTTTTTACAAAGCATATCTTCTTCGGCAGCAGGGTGATTTAAGATAAACAAGCTTTTGCTTGACGGGATATATATATAGTATGTATAAAACTATCCCTTCTTTCTTATCCTTCCTCTTCTATTTATTTTTCTTTTTCTTCTTTTTCTATTTCTTTTTCGGCTCCTTCCTTTATTCTTCTTTTACTTTTACTTCTTTCTTACCTTATTGTGTTACTGTATGATCGGATTCTGTTTATATATATTTTCTATATTGATCAAGGGACCGATGAAAAACAATAACACCTGAGTCCATCAGGTGCATTGACTCGGTTTCCTTTGGTAAACCGCTATTATTTATGATTTAGTACTTCATTTTTTTTTATATAGTATAATTCATTTTTTTTTTACTTTTTTTTTACCTGATATTTTCTTTTGTAATTGTAAATTGTACTCTTTTTTTTTTTTGGTTTCACCAATAAATATATTATTATTATTATTATTATTATATTGGTTGCATACTTGCAATGATGACGTCAAATACGATAATTAATTAACACACTGTCTACCATACACCTCCATTTAATAACCCATCACTTAATAAGTAATTAATTTGTAGTTAATATGTACGAAGTTGTATTAACATGTTAACATGTATTAATATGTACGAAAAAAATACTATAAACAGTAAAGCATTTTATTTATAGTTATATGTACGTTTGATTTATTTAGGTGATGTTTCTGATCAACAGAATTTTATACGTCAATAAACCAACGATGATTGAAGATGTACTTACTCTAACTATAACATCAAAAGAGAAGCGACTGGGGAACTTTATGCTATTTGAAAATTTAGTTCACAACTGGTAAAATTAAACGTTACTAATATTTTTGTTATAATTCATTTTAATAATAAGTTCCTTCTTAATGCAGGAGAACTGAAGATGCATATACATTTTTAGACAGGATTGAAACCGAAGATTGGATTCCGTTTTGTAATTCCATCACAAATAGTATTATTGTCTCAAGCAAAGTAACATATTTATTTTAATTGTTTTAATAATTTTATTAAGTGTTTCTTTTTAGAATGACTTCAAATCAATAAAAAAGTTTTCAAGTTTTATACCTATAATTAAACGTAAACAGAAAGAAAAAGTTCCGAACTACATCTATCAGAAAAATTTAGACAATATGTTCGATATGATCACCGGTTATTTTAATACAAAAGAAATGTATAATGAAGTTGTGATGAACGATTTATTAGATTCAAGAAAAACCGATGAACTCTTAAATATTTTAATACAAAACGCTTTCGATGAGTTCAAAGCGAATGATACAGATTTAGATCTATTAGATTTCTTGATTAATAGGACAGCAAAATGTGTAAAACCTATTAATAAAAGCAAAATCTTCTTAAAATTTTTAATGAGATGTAACAACTTAGCTGTTATAAACAAATATGCCAATGAATATTATTATCACGTAGATGATCCAAAAGAATTATTTGAATTAGGTGTGGTGATCATTAAAAAAACAAACATTAACGAGAATTTAATTTGCGACGTAACTTTTCAAGATTTAACGGCTTCCTGTGGGCCAGGAAACACTCAAACATTAATTACGAATGTAGGTTTAGCACAAAAATTGTTTATTAAAGCTATGTTATACGATAGATGTTCTGAAAATCAAGGAGTGGTTAACACTTATTTATTAGTAAAAACTTTTTTTGGATCAATTACTCGAAACTTGCACGTTAACAAACAACAGGAATGGTTTTTACTTAGAAATGCTATAGAAAATGTCACACCTAGTACAAGAACATTTTACTCTGTTAATGATATGTTGGAAATTTTTGTGGGATGTAAAGGTATCTTTTTGTGATATAATCAAAAATGATTTATTTTTATTGTCATACTTTTTAAGGTTTTCTGAAAGCTGTTAATTTGAAGTACTTAAATCATTTCTGCGATTCACATGAAGATTTAGATGAGGTAAGTACAGCTTTTGCACAACACGCGCTAGGATACTCGGTCCCATAGCAACAAAAAACTCAATTTTTATCTCAATGTTATCTTTTGAATTATGACTTAAAATGATTTACAGTAAGTTGATTTATTAAAGTAACTTAAATGTTGAAATTATTAGAAGACAAATACAGGGTGTCAGATAAAAAACGCCCCAAGCTGTAACTCTGTCATTTACATTCCGATTTTCATGAGCGACTCATCAAACGAAATGGTTTGACGAATACTATGATTGATGCTACAAATAAATTTTTTCCAAATTACATTTTGAATGTAATTTTAGCAGAGAAAAGACACCTGTATATACAGGTTGTCACACAAGAATGCCGCAAGCTGTAACTCTGTTATTTAACTTCCGATTTTTATGACAGAGTTATCAAATGGTTTGATGAATACTACGATTCATGCTACAAATAAATTTTTTCCAACGCCATCTTCAATTTTAAGCGGTTATCAACTTTTGATTTTCAAATTGATGGGTATGTTTTTCTTTACGTTATTGGATAGAGATTTTTTTTTCTGAACCCATTGCTGTACAATACATTAACATAAGGAACGATAGTTAGAAGGCGTGGGAAGGGCGAACAGTACAAGTTGAGACGTAGGTTAGTTAAGATCGTTTTGTATGCTCCTTTGTATTACTATTATTAAAATAAGTGAGAATTATTTTAATTTCGGCCACCCTAACAAAGCAGCGGAGGGATAAGTGGATAAAGTTAAATCGAAGTGAAAAGTGTTATTAAAAACAGAAAGTCGTTAAAATGGATCAATACATGTTCGTATCGAACACAAACGAAGGCGAAGAGGTTACGTTGGACGCAACTGGTGAATTTAATCTTAACATCCAGTGGGAAAGACGACTTTTGCAGCAGGAACCGCAGGAACCTGATTTGTTGATGAAGGAAAGAGAATTACTTTAAAGAGAACGAAGATTAGACAACGCAGACGGCGGCGGCGCTAGAACTTCGGTACATTACCATAACACAATGCAGCAAGTTATTTCGGATTTCACGGTCGATTATTCATCTACGAAACAGTTTAGTTGGATTGGTTTGAAATCGCGATGCATTATCAATTTATAACCGACTAAACTGTTTAGTTGTTCATAAATCATATTGTATGCACACACATATCGATTTCGAAACAACTTGTATTTATATTGTATTGAATAATACCGGGAAATAATTCAAATTTTTAAAACAATGTAATGAATTACTTTAATATACAGTGTGTTAATTAATTATCGTACCCGACCGACGTCATCATTGCAAGTATACGACCAATATCACAATATTGGTATTGCAATACGCAATTTGCGTATTATGCGTATTGCACTGTGATATTGGTTGTATACTTACAATGATGACGTATGCAACCAATATCACAATATTGGTATTGCAATACTCGATTTGCGTATGATGCGTATTGCACTGTGATATTGGTTGCAGACTTACAATGATGACGTCGCGTACGATAATTAATTAACACTGTATTTAGTGTAGTATATAATTAACTGCGGTAGTAAAACGGAAAATAATTTAACTTAATTTTTGATATAAATTCACTTATCATAAAATAATTGAGAGAAACTAAAGTAGTAATTGATTTATGTTATACTAGAGAAGACACTTCAACTCTCATTAAAGTTGCGCGCGTAACCTATATTCCTAAAGACCTCAACTAAACTATCGACTGTGTGTGCGCTTCAATATGAAGCTGTGGCATTATCGCAGTTGTACGATAGTTGCACAACTTTTTAATCATAAGTGCACATCGACTCCTTTTGATTAAAAAATCGAGTTGATCTTCAATTGTGTTGTGTGTGCACATATATTAAACTTAATACATTTATGTCCATCGACTAAAAATCAAATTCGTTGACAGCCCGGCAATGGATTAAAAGCGCGGAAAATTTGGCAATCATTTTTAAGTGGGTTGATCAAACGCTATTGTATAATGCTATAATTAAATTAAACGGCGCGGCGAAACTGTGGTTTGAAAGCGTTCAAATCGTGGTTTATGATTGGACAACTTTTAAAAAACAACTAATTGATGATTTTCCAACGGTAGTAGATGAGGCCGACATTCATTTTAAGTTGTGTAAACGCGTTAAACGAGGAGATGAGACGTATGAACATTATGTTTGTAATATGAAAGCTATAAGCTAAGAAGGCCGTACTTAAATATATTATTGCCGGAATACAGGATAAAGAATTAAGCAAACCTTTAGCCATTAGTTTACCGATTGATACACAACACCTGCTGATGAAGGAAAAACCCAAGCTGATTATCTTGAGTTAACATTTACTCGTCACATACCTCGAGAAAGCATGTCTTCTTCTGTTACTATTCAAGCATACAACGAAACTCATCTTCCGCGAATAGAAAGAGTAGATGAAGAAGTAACAAACGAAGAAATCACATATTTAATTAACAATCTACCCGATAGAAAGGCCCCAGGGCATGACACCTCCCTTCGAATGTTACTAGCCACTTAACTGATATCTTTAATTCATGTTTAAAAATTGGTTACTTTCCGGTGACTTGGAAAAAAGCTGCGATACTTATGTTTCCCAAGCTAGGAAAGCAGAGCACTCTTATATCTAATTACCGTCCTATAAGTCTCTTACCGATTCTCTCAAAATTGTTTGAAAAAGTTATAATACGAAGACTTCAAGATCAGCTGCTGGAAAGAAATGTTATCCCAAACATACAGTTTGGTTTTTGAACGGGTCATTCAGCGATCCATCATTTGGTGCGTGTTACAGAATTCATTGAGAAAGGTTTTGAAAATAAGCAATACACCACTATCGCCTTTTTGGATGTAGCTAAAGCCTTTGATACAGTTTGGACACAAGGATTAAAATTCAAACTATTGCATCTAGGTCTAGATGCTATATTTATTTATTTATTTGTCTTTGTATCCAGTTTACAGAAAGAAATTATAGAGAAATTAATAGTAAACACTATGTATATAAGGTAAACAAAAACAAAAACTCCCGTAACACGCCATATAACTAATTTCTATTATGATCAGTACCAAGCAGCTGGCGCATGGGGGTAACCGCAAAAACTGAAAAAAATCAGTTTGCACGCGGCTTTCGAGAAAAAAAAAATAATAAAAATTCAAACATAAACATTATTCTTACTGTGAACAAAGATAACAAATTATACAACACTCAATTCAACATTGAAAGAACTAAACCATAATTGAAAAAATTCCATCTATCACGCCATCATTAAGTGATTTCACCCATCTTTTTGAAAAGTATTTCCACCTAGATTTCACCAACGTAAGGTTCTGTGCTGTTAGGTATTCCCTAAACTTATTATATATTTTAATGGAATGGTAAGAGTAATGTCTTTGACCTACAGTCTTATTTACGGGCGGTATAACAGCACGATTCTGGGATGCAATCCGAGTAGAGTAACCATGTGAGACAGTCGCCAATCGGTCCGGTGATTTTAGAATGTTATTCATAATTGCTAAGGTGTATAACTGTTTAATAGTAAATAAGTCACACTCAGCAAACAACAACGCAGATGGGAAAGTACGGGGCCTATGCATCATTATTTTTATAACACCTTTTTGAGACGTAATTAATTTCTGAAGGTAAGAATCAGCTGCAGAGCCCCATGCCAATATGCCATATTGCAGGATTGATTGTATAATTCCAAAATAAAATATCTTAATAGTTTTGAAATCGCATACATGACGTAATCTTTTGAACATGTAAGTACTACGCCGAATCTTGTCAACCATCCTTGCAATATGAGCATTCCATCTCAAATGATTGTCAATTAATACACCCAAATAAGTAGCAACTTGCACAGATGTAATCCTTTTACAATTGCAATCTACCACACAACAATCATTTTCATGAATTGGAAGGCTAGAAAAGCTATTAGTGGTATCCTTTCTGATGGTAAATCTCATAAAATATGACTTGCTATCATTTAAAATAAGTTTACTGCTATTTAGCCAGTTATTTATTAATCTCAAATCTGCTATAGCTTTATCTTCAACATCTGCCCAAGAACGGCCTTCCACAAACAGAACGGTATCATCCGCATAAGAGATTAAGTCTCCATTGAGTGTTAATGAAAGCAAGTCATTTATATAGATTAAAAACAAAAGCGGACCCAAAACTGTTCCCTGTGGCACTCCGACATTCATCGATACCGAACTGCTGAGACTTTGACCAATCCTCACATATTGAGATCTCTCGTGCAGATAGTCCCACATTAATTTCAAAGGTGTACCTCTCACCCCATAAATATCGAGCTTACGCAACAAAAAACTGTGGTCAACCGTGTCAAAAGCTTTAGCTAGATCCAAAAAAACAGCTAGGCAAGGCCTTGATTTCTCAAAACTATTTTTAACTTTTGTTGTAAGTTCCGCAATGGCATCACTTGTTGATTTACCCTCAGTGAAGCCATATTGATTCTTAGAAAGAATACTATTTTCATTAAAGAAATTTATCAAACGTACTTTTAATAATTTTTCAAAAATTTTTGCGAAATTATTTACTAAAGAAATAGGTCTATAATTACTTACACATTGAGGATCACCACCCTTAAACACAGGTACGACCACAGCCTTTTTAAAAGCTTCTGGAAAATAACCTAACACAAAACATCTATTAAATAAATTGGATAATGGAGATGCAATCAAATGAATAACCTTCTTAATAAGAATCATCGAAATATTATCGCACCCGGCCGAGTTGCTAATCTTTGATTTTTGAACAATATCCATAATTTCATACTGATTAGTAGGCGTTATAAAAAATGAATTCCCACAACGTTGAATACGTTTGAGATCCTGATCATCAGATGCATACAAATTTTTCAACAATTTTTCCGCAACGTCTCTAAAGTACATATTAAACTCACTCGCAATACCCAATTCGTCATATATCTTAGTATCGTTATCAATCTTAATGCATGATATACCGTCTCGTAAT